CTCCTTCACATGTGAATTCGAACTTCCGTCCCTTAAGCTACGTCACACGGCTCTCGCCCCAGACCCTTTTCCGGTTTTTTCTCGGGCGCGACAATTTTTCGCTAAAAGCCAATTTTTCAAGGTTTAGAACCTCATATCTCGCGAATGAAAAGAGAAAACCGAAAAATGTTAAAGAACCTATTAACTAACTTTTTGTCCTCTACCAAATATCAAAAAAAAGTTTTTGTGACATAAGCACTTTAAAACCCCAACCGTATCCGTTAGGAACGTGGCCGTACACGGTATATGTTTATAATCATAAATTTACAGTTACAATTTTGAAAAGTCGCTTTTCACACTGTTATAGATCTGTCTATAGATCCTCTGGCGTGCATGCATGGGACGACAGTACCCCCCAAAAAGGCGGAACTGCATGGCACACGTGAGAAAGGCTAATAGAATTTTGTTTCGCAACAAGCGATTCGACAAGTTACAAACGTCAACCCATAGACCATGTTCTCAAATTTAGTGACTTGTAAGTTACCAGTTGTAACATTGCGTTATATACATGTATATAACGCATGTGTATATGCTATTTACTGTTGAAGCCTCATTTCAACTTGATATATGCAAATTAGTAAAGTAGTTCATAGAGTAATGTCTGTGATTTCGGGTCACAAGCTTACTTTGACGTCCTTGAACTTACCTTACTTAAAGGTCGACCTAAATATATGACATTGTCATCAGGACTAAGAGCATCTGAAGAAAATGGCGATACACTTGCTACACCAATGTCAGTCATCAAGCCATCTTTATAGAACATCCATAACTTTGTTTGAGTATCAATACTGAAGCAAATATGTTGCCACGTTTCAAATGAAACTGACGCCTTTGTCGTACTAAAAAGAATAAAAGAATGTCATGGTCTCATAGACCGTTATACTGTAAGTAGTTTTTCTTCAAGCCTTCACTGTCAATTTTAAGGAGTTAATTTAACTCCCATGCATGCAGTAGAGTTATTTTCAACCTCATTTATTTCCTACCTTTTTGAAGAGTAAACCTTGGTTCAAAATAACTCCACCGTTGTAATTAACAGTTTGGGCTGGTTTTGGCCAGTATTTTGTTTCGCAGATTGGCTGAATATTTTATCAACCAAAAAGGGTAAATAAAACTTGAAATATAAACACGGCATTAGAACCTAAAATTTTCCTTATGTACCGCGCTTCATCCAAGCTGACCAAAGTGGAAATTTTTTGCCGACCCTTATATGCAGACTGCATTCAAAGTTTTTTCAGTTTGCATTCTGCCTTATCCAGCTCGATGAGGTCATTTTTTTGCTATTGCGAGTTAGTGATTTACTTAAACATGGCGGGCTTGGCCCACCATGTACTAATTAGTGTATTGCATGTTAGTAAATCTATTTAATTGTAGAAGTGACAGATATTAGTAGGCTTCGAAACTTTTACTCGGTAAAACTAGTTCTCGAGAGATCAAGACCAACTTATTCAGGACAAATAAACAATACCAACCTATTCCAGTCATAAAAATTCACAATAAATTTATATTGATTCCCATAATAGATCTTCAGCAGTAGTTTTTCTCCGAATGAAACCACAGTCGCCTCACTCATTTTAGCACCAATGTATATCCACAGACATAATGTGACATTTTTTATGTTTTTTGGCCTATCAGCTGTCATAGTTACTTCTTCCATAGGCTTTCCGTCAAATACATAGATACTAACTCCGTCAGATGAAGAATGAACATAACTTTTGCCAGTTTCTAGAAATTCAAGAACAGGTGAAGAAATCTTAGTTTATAATACCTAATTTAAAGAGCACTGCAGTTTTGCTCAAATGCAGTGATTTAATTTGCAAGTCGTACCAAACGCTATTAGCGGAAAACATTTTGATAAAAATATTGATAATTTTTCATAATATTAATGTATTATTATATTAACACATAATTAACAGCATAATAATTATCCAGCGTTCACACAAGAAAACAGTATTACAGTATTGTTGCGTTTCCGAAATTTTTCACTCTCAATATCGTCTTTAAATGTTTGTGTTTACAGTGCGCGTAATGAGAAGACGAATGGCAAATAATTTTTGCGCATTCAAAATGGCTTGACAAGGCTTCGCAAACTTACCCCACGGCGGCCATTGCAAAGTAGTGGCTGTTTCTCTGCCCATTGTACGACGCCATTGAGTTTCATTGCTACCTGAATCTTCACGCCAACCGCAAAAGTCAGCTTCAAAATCGCACGAGCCATCGCCTAAAATTAATATAAACGGCGAATGAAAAGCAGATAGCAGTATATTATTTTATAATATTTGTGGTGTTACTCTGAGTGTATATCCACACCGGGCGAGCTTGAAAAATATGCCTGGCCACGGTGGGATTCGAACCTACGACCTTTGGAATACTAGTCCAATGCTCTTCCAACTGAGCTACGCGGTCAGGACGGTTCGAGTAAGTGATATTTCGGAACAGAATCTAGTTCCTTCGATACCAATGTATTCTATTAATTTGAATTTTTTTTAAATTTTTTTTTCAACTTACTCGAACCGTCCTGACCGCGTAGCTCAGTTGGAAGAGCATTGGACTAGTATTCCAAAGGTCGTAGGTTCGAATCCCACCGTGGCCGGGCATATTTTTCAAGCTCGCCCGGTGTGGATATACACTCAGAGTACCACAAATATCATATTCACCTGAGTACACTACATCAACACAGTATATTATTTGCGGCCGATTGAAAGATTTTGAATTTGCTGCGAATCCAAATATATTCTTCTATTACCACACGCTTATGGAAACTTATCAAGATTTTGTTGACATCTCACTCGATTGAATAATACAATAGTTGAATGGTATATTGTAGATGGAACTTATGAGTGGAAATTTATATATACGTTTATTAGACCTGACCAGGAACAGCTGCGAAAATTCAACTTCAGGTCCTTGGCCGGAATCGAACCTGCGGCCCCTGCGATTTCAGCGAAACGCTCTAATCAACTGAGTTACATTGGTCTGTAATTGTCGAGCTCTAACAACAAGTTCATGAATATATAATAGGGTACTATCATGTATAGGTTATGGATAAATATCAAGATTTTGTTTGCATCTCACTCGATTGAATAATATAGTTGAAGCTTGAAAATAGCACTCCAAATATTTTGGATGCCGATTCGAACAAAACTATTGCGAAAAAGATATGTCCGAAGGGGCGAATTCTGAAAGGTTTAGAACATATTCAAGTTTTTTCTCTATATGAAATACATAATGTTTGGGCATATATTTGATTGTTTTGGTTTTTCGGAAGTGTCGTGACCCCCCCCCCCGTTGAAAAGGTTATTTCGTGAGGATTTCAATGGCATTTTTTCGTCTTAAAGGGGGGTGGGGTGGTAAATACTCGTTGAGATATTTATATAGAAACAACTGAATCGCAATTATAAAAATTGAGGCCGATTGAGAAAGAGTTTCACTGAAATTCAGAAAAAGTAGCAGTTTAGCTTATCATTTATGTAGCTAGTGGTCATCTCACACGGGGGACGTCCGAGTTTACATATTGCCCCCGCAACGAAGGTTCCTTCCTTCTAAAATATAGGCATAGAAATGAAAGAGCAACTTAGTTAATCAAAAGGTTGTGTCTAAAAATGCAGAAAACGAGATCCGGAGGGTTAGAAATATCAAACACTTTCTGGTGGTGGACACATTGTAAAAACAGATTGGTTAAAACAACCAATGAACTGTTTATCTCAGATTCAAAATGAATGAGGCCCTGCATCTCACCTAGCCTATACTCGCACACGAAACCAACTTCACTAGAATTACCAACCGATATACCAGGCCACATATGAAACCTGTCAACACCTTTTGACTTCATCATATTTGTCACATATTCCTCTTCTTCTTTATTGTCCAGCGACACCAGTCTTGCTCCTTTCACTCGCTCGCAATAGGCTCGAGCATCCTTCCATTGCATTTTATCCAGAAAGGACTTGTAGCAGCTTGTTCGAAATTTAACCCAATACTTCGGACAGAATACGGCATTTGTTTCGGAGATATCTGGCAACGAAAAGCAGAAATTATAACAGACGAGCCAAAATTGTTATCATGGCGAGAAAAGGACCAAACCATATTAAGTCATTATAACAGAACAACAAAGAGGATAACACTCTCAAATGCAATAAAACTATGGCTATAAAGTACGCCGGAATCAGGTGTACTTTATAGCCATAGTATATTCCATAAAGCAGTACACTTTCAACCTCGTTTCCAAGCCCAAGGGGTACATCTTTTCACTCTACATACAGCTGAGCTATCACACATGAAACTACAGAATCCATACTCCAGATGTGCCTCTTTAATCAACTGCTATAAAACCGCGCAAAATATGATGAACAGAGATGTGGCTGTGAAGTTGTCTTGAGAAAGATATATTCTCGTCATATCAAAAGGTGAGAAATTGAAAAGGAAAGATGATGTATTACCATGTTTTCACAACAATAATACGGCGGTAGTGGCTGTGGTGATTAGCTAGGTGTACGAATTATTACATAATGCAATGAACTAACCTGCGTTAATACTGTTTGATCTTTTAACACATTTATATGAAATGATGAGATACTTGCTTTCTTTAGGATATCGGTCGCCTTGTACTGACTCTACTGATAAATTACACCAAATTCTTCCTTCACATTTGGATGTTACTTGGTTGAAAACACTACTGTTAAATTTACAGGAAGATCGCTTGCCAAATGTTTTATTGGATGCTGGCGATGTTGGGCAGATATCTATATTAGTTGTCTTTGGCTTAAGTTCAGCCCGCACTATGCCTATAACCGCACTAAGATCTGAGCAGTTTAAGCTTTGGCTTTCCTGATCTTCACAAATCAATTGATCACGCCTGTCGACTAAAAAAGAAGACAAAGTTAAATATGAAGGTTTGAATAAACTGAATACTTTTACTGGCTATTACATTTCTAACCAAGTAAAACCCGAACTCAATTGGACGTTTTTGGGTTTGTATTTTGGTGTTTCGTTTTGTTCCATTGTTTTCGTTTGTTTCCGAATTTGATTGAGCACAATCAATGAAGATTTTTAAAACAAAATTTCATTTAAAAAAACATTAGCTTTCTGTTGTATAGAATCTTCATTTCCAATCATTAAACAATATGTAACAGTGTCGCAATGATTTAAATAGATTGAAATTTAAGCTCTTTAAAAATTTTCGTTGAACCGCACTTGAATTTTTTGCTGCGATTTCTGGTGCGCCTTTCGCCTCCTGATGCATGGGAACGAGTAAATGAGTTATAAATGTTCCACCCTCATCTGAACATTCATAACTCATTCACTCGTTCACATCTATCAGAAGACAAAAATCGCAGAAAAAATTGCAAGTGTAAAAGGGTCATAAAATTTAAGGGCATAAAATATCCTTACCAGGTCGACGGCAAAGAACATTTAATCTCTCACTACAGTTACGTCTTTCCCACATCGTAGAGTTTGCGACAGCTGTACACAATCCAGCAGATAATCCCTGATTCAAACTCTTTCCATCCAATTTATTATATAGATCTGTACTACCATCACTCCATGCGAATTTCCTCCCTGTGTGCGTATGCCCATGATAACCAATCCAGAACGGTAGAAATTTAGCAAATATATTTTTTACATGTTCCTCTTCCAATTTAGAATCAAATCTGGCAAGCTCACTTCCAGAAATCTTGCAAACGTCAGAGCCATCAAACCAATTTCGTTTTTGAGATATAAAATAGCAACTAACATTGTTGCTCAATAAGTTACACTTTTGAGATGACGACAGCCATGCAGACCCTAGGTCAAAATGGATTTATGAATAATAAGTTTATATCAATACCATAAAAACTATAGCTTTATCAGTTTTAAATGTTCTACCTCGAGAACAAGTAAGAAGCACATCCCCCTACTTACTTACTATACTTATTATTCTTACAAATTGTTTGCGAAGAAAATGAATTCCTAAAGTCAAAAAATAAGAAGCAGGCAACTTTATTTACTTAACAGGTGGGAAATTTGTTGTCGCTGACCAAAAAATCGCGGGCAGAAACAAAGCTCATTGCATTTGCATTCAAAACAAAGCAGATAGTTAGCAAGAAGCTGTTTTAGCTGACGATTTTTTGCTTTCCATTCAACGATTTACAAATTATTGGTTATTCTTTTAAAAGTCGATCATGAATTCTTTGTTTTGGGATGATTGTTTTAGAATCGCGTGATTGGAAGAAGTTAATATGGCGACGTGAACATGGGAGTAAATACCGTATACGTCGATCTATGGCTCGTTTAAAACCGTAATAAATGAAGAAAGACGTGATTTGAGAATGAAATGTAAGTTGAAATTAACTTTATATGCCTCAAATTTTCCATCCTATGTTTCTTAATGTAACTTCAGCTGTCTAAGTTCAAAATACAAGCTTGCGAAATTTGACAAATTTTGAAAATATGTAAAAATAGCTTGACTTTGAACTGTATTTTCTCAAAAATAGTCCGTGGCCTCAATTTCAAATATAGCTAAATGAAAAGAAAAAACATTTCGGCGTTTGTAGGTATCAAGCATATCGTCAGGAAAATAGGGGCTCACAATGTTTTAGTTCAGTCTTTGAGACCCAGTTGCTTCGCACGTGTTGTGGTCAAATTTTTGCCAAGAATCAAAGGCCGAAATGTGAACTTCCTTCATGAAAACCGCTTCGAGAAGGGTCCAGTTTGAAAATTTAGCTATTAATTTCGATTTCATGAGCATATTTTGGTTACACGTTAAATATTTTTGTACTTGATGAGATTCAAAATTTGTTGTATATTCAAGCCCGGCTTTAGTGTAATTTTGGTGATGACCGGAACAGAAATAAAGATATTTAAAAAACTGGCCGTGGCCTCACGACAAAACTTTCTACAAATGTTCTCTGTTTCATGTACTTTTATTTGATATCTTAGGTATAAGCGTAAAAATAGGGGCTCATACAGTTTGAGAGGTTGTAAAATGCATGACTTGCCTCTATTTTCATGTAAACATTCGAAATTCTTCGACAGCAAAGTAGCAACTGTTTCAGATCGAATGCAGACGGATAGGCTACCAGAGACGATGGCAGGGTACTGAAATAGAACGTCACTAAAAAATTCTGTATGATTAATTTAGATCATGTCCACTCTTTCAACATAAAACAGTCATTTATTTTGTACAAACATTTGGCAATATTTACGCGATTGTGCCTTTTTGTAAACACGCGTTGCGTGTATTCCTCGCAATTGCGTGACTCATTTTACTCGCGCATGCTCAGACAAATTTCCCACCTGTTTTATTTACTTACTTACTTACTTACTTACCATGTTGATCCAATTGATATGGAAGAAGCCAAACATTTTGATTCTCAACCACAATATCTGAGCTATTGGAATCAAGACGAATACTCAACTTAAATTGAAGTTCGTTATAACTATAAGTGCTAACGGTGTCCTTTGCAATCACGACTCCTAGAGCTGCTGTATTCACACTTTCTTCTACAAATACTCTGTTTCCCACACTAATATTCGAGTATTCGGACGAAGAAATATCTTCAACAATGTAGTTCACACGACCGCGGGGATTAAAAATAGTTTCAATAAAGCTGGGCGAATATTGAGGTACATCCAAATAATTCGTGATTTTCTTATCATTCGAGGAAAAGTGAGGTGTATAAAATGCCGTAATACTGCCATCTCTGTTGCGTTTTGTTAACGATTTGTAAAACCTTGAAGATTTTCGGATCCAGGCAACACCACCTGAAGTGGAAAAATAAATTGAATTATGCAATTATTTGAAGGACTTTTTATTTTCTTCGAAATTAATTGAAGACTAAAATGTATATCAAGCCGTAACGGTCAGTTGTGTTGGACTTAAAATTCGATACAATCCGAATTTGAAGTTTGAAACGTAACTTTATACTCGAATCAAGGAATTATCAGATCAAGGACCATGCCGTTTAGATCCGAAACTAGTTACCAGGACAGGCTACTAAAAACAGGTTTACTTCCTTTGTCTTACTGGCACGAGTACCTGGACTTGGTGTATCTCTTTAAGGCAATTAAATTGAATGACTCTCGGATTAGTTTAGTATCAAACGATCGTATCACCAGGCGCGCTATAACTAACAGTGTAACATTAAAAATTTCCGGAGTTAACACTTTAACTTTTCAGAACAGTTTTTATAATAGAGCTCCCAGAATATATAACTTGCTACCACCACATATTCGAGAAGCAAGTGTTACTGTTGGCCAATTCAAGTCTTACCTGTTAACTTATTATGAAGCAATGACTAAATAAATATATAACATTAATGCTCCACAAACGTTTAAAAGTATATGTGTCAAGTGTCACTCGTGTACGTCCGTCGTCCAGTCTTGTGGATAAAATGTGTTGGAAATAATGTAATGTTTTTTTTATATACATATTATTAGGGACTCTGTAAATGGAGCAATAAGCTCTGTAGGGTTAACCTGTCATTAATGATATAAGATATTTATGGCTACATGCCATAATTTCCTCCAATTATAAAAAATATTAATATTTAAAAAATTAGAATTTACAACTTCTATTTATCATCCAACATTACTACTGAATATGGTGAATATGGCTGCAACTTTGGTGCAATTTCAATATCACCAGTCTGAATCTTTTCAAAGGACAAGAAAGTTATACTAATTGCCGAAAGAACTAGTATTAAGTGAACTAATATTTTAAATACGAAAACGCAGACTGGATTTTAAAGTAGGTTTGTTCCAGTTCGAGCCAAAGACGAGGATTGGATCTGACTGCGACAACTTAGTTCAAGTTTAAATTGAGAGTTCGTTTTAGTGTAGAATTGATGTTGGGGTTAGGTTTAGGGTATGGTTTAGGGTAAGCTTTAGGATTGTTATAGGTGCCTTGTTGTTAATTATTTTGCGTTTTAACGTCTTAAAAATTCGCTGCTATTTGAAAAACCTCCCTCTCGTCCATCCGCTTAAGCAACGACCCAGTCTGAATATGAATTTTTGAAACGAAATCGCAGACTCATAAATTGTTAAAAAATGGATGAATTAATTTTGAATCAATCCTAGGACTGGAACAGATTTGATTAAATTATGTGGCTAGATCAATATTTTTCTATAGATACAGTGTACATTCTTTGTTATCATATAGTTACATAGCTAATTTCGTCATGAGCTATATTGCACGTTCACAAATTTCGAGCGAAAATAGGCACTTCATTGGCTGTTAATAAAATAGATTCATTTACAAGCGACTACATTGTCAGCCTCGATTTCAAGTTGTTGTTTCGTGTGAACTCAAGCAAATTCGGGAAGACTAGTGTTAGACCATCCATGGAGCAGCTTCAAAAAAATGCAACCAGAGGCACTCCCGGTAGGAATCAATGCTACGGCCCTAGAATTCCGCTGCAGCGCTCTTATCACTGAACTACATAGTACAGTTGCGGATTATCCCCGAGCCAACGGCGCGTAAGCCCGGGGCGGGGTACTAAATCCCCCGGTACAGCAGGTACAGCAGAAGTGTAACTCAAGGTACAGCAGAAGTGTAACTCAAGGTACAGCAGAAGTGTAACTCAAGCAAGTATTTGTCCGCGTTTTTACAAGCGATTCGTCATCAATCACGCCATCCTGGCTAGTACAATCGGCACTTTGTACCTACCAAAACATAGCCTGAAAACAGACCTACGTTTCGCCCGCCCTAAAATTCGCGGGTCGACGAAAAGGGCGAAACGTAGGTCTGATGAAAATCGTGTCAAAACGCTGTGTAATCCGACCGCCTGGCGGTCGGAATAGCTGATTGGATAATTTACAGGGAAATGGGTTGTGATTGGTCGGTCGCAAACATGAAAAGATTTGAAAAGATCAGAATATATTTCAACGGTAAATCAAATATTAAAACAACGCATATACTATGCATATAGTGTAATATTCTAAATATTTTGCGAAGTCGAACGACAAATGTACTAACAGTATCTACCGTCTAAAATTAAAACTAGAGCGGGAGTAGAGCAGACTTGTCAAACTGACTTCAGCGTTGTGTCTTTCGTTGTAATATAGGCCTATAATACAATAATTTTTACACTATTTACGTTTTGTGATAATCATAATAAAACTGATACAATTATTAATTTTACACATAGGCCTATGAGCTATGTGTCAGTGCAATAGTGCGTTTATATATTTGCATTTCGATAACATAGCACGTACAAAAATATTTTATTTAGATTTTAGCATTGTATGGCGGTTTCAAAATGTATAAATTGTAAGAGTTTGGTCCTGTTTGGATGCAATTCTGACAACAATGGGTAATGGGAAATGACATGGTCATTGCCAAATTTGCGTATGCAGGTTTTATTACATCTAGAGAATGTGTTGAAAATGTTGTATTATTACTAGCTGTAATTTGTTTGAGTACAAGGGTTAAGAGTACATATTAGAGGCAACATACTGCATGGTGTTGCCAATATTTTTAATATTTATTCAAACTGTTATATCGTCTCTTCATGCTTTGCCGTAAAAGTGAATCGACAACTTTCGTTGTATTTTTAGGTGTTAATGTAAATATGTCAATCATCATCGTTAATTACTGCAAAATGGGCGGTAGAGCGTTTTGACATAATTTTCATCAGACCTTCGTTTTGCGCCTCTCACCGCGAATTATAGGGTGCAGAGCAAAACGAAGGTCTGTATTCAGGCTAACCAAAACATGATAAAAACTTCCGGTTGTACTAGCCTGGATGGCGTGAGCGAGTTAAAATTTTCGTGGACGTAAAACAATAATAACCAACTCGAGTTACACTTCTGCTGTACCTTCTTATTCTTGTGGATTAGCGAAGTCTAAAGTTCATCAATGATCGTGGGAGTGGCTCACCAACGGTGTTGAGTGGGTGGTCATCCTCACTGATCTCAAACTATGTAGCTTACTGTCGTGAATAGTGAACACTGATTGGTCAAATTTGAAATTTTCATTATAACGACTGCATGACGACAGCGAAATAACAAACATTTTTTGCAAGTTGTATTTTTGCAAGATTTTGTCAATTTCAAAACCTTTCTGAGAGCCTAAAAACGTCTAAAAGAATGAAGGTATGTTTGTTTTGAATATTCGATGTACTATTTGTTTTATAGCAGTTTATTTCAAACTCAATGTTTACCGATAATTCGATAAAAGGCAGTTTAGTTTTAAGAACTTTATAAAACGTTTTGCGAAGCGTTTGTGGTTGAATTTTACATTAAATTGAACCTTATATTACGTATAATAGAATTAGCATATATATGTTTGGGAAATTGATCATGTTGTAATTAAAAGTGATATTTGGGGGGGATTTTTCAATTTTAAAACTATTCTTAAAATTATCATGTTACCATGACAACTACTTTCAATACTTCTTGTTCAGATTCATGCCGTAGATTCGATTCCTACAGGAGTGCCTATATATGGTTGCATTTTTCGCAACTTCTCCCGGCCAGTCAGCTCTAAAAAGCTGTTAACTTTTTGCTTGAACTTTCCATCTACGAAAACCCTTGAACATTCAGTTCTGTCGAGCCAGATATTCAAAATCTTACTCAGCCCAAAATATTCTAAGCACAAAGTAGTCTATACAACTCACCTTGTTGAAAACTGAGACATGGTTCTGCAGAGAAATTGATTTCGTCAATACCAAGATAAGGCTGAGTTGTCGATCGAGGAACAGTAACATTAAAGAAAAGCTAAGGACAAACAAAAAAATTATTTATGTAATGCACATAGTTCTGTAGTAGTTTATCCAAATGCATTCTATTTATAAAGTATATTTATGAAGGAATATTAAATGACCAAATACAGTATAAATCCAATAAAAATTGCGGGTCGAAGTCGCATTTTTTTTCCAACTAAATTCATTTGCATAAATAATTAATTACTTCTAATTTAAAAAACCCTAACATATCGTAGTTTCTGTTTTAAATTGTTTGGCAAGACTCATTCGTTGTTAATTGCTTTTTCTTTTGTTACGAGGTGGGAAAATGTGATTTCGAACGGTAATTTTAATCGTCTTGTATAATCGCAATCGGTAAAATTAAAGTTTAATTTCACGCGTGTTTTCAAAGTTTCACAAATTGCCCTTAATTTTACGAGGAATTATGCGATTACCTGTTAATGTTATGTGCCACTGAAATATGCATCAGTAATACTCTTAGTGTTAAAAACCATCGCTTAGATTGAATTTTCGATGCCCACAAATAATTAGCTTAAATCTAGAACATACGGTTGCTACATTTTGGGGATAATATCAGGGTTTGGTGCATCTCGCTCGATAGAACTATAATTCTTGAAGGGTTTTGTAGATGCAAACTTGTACTCCATTACAAAAAGTTCCATCTACAAAACACTTCAACAATTAGTTCTATTGAGTGCGATGCCCCAAATCCTGATATTTATACCCATACACCTTACAGTGACATCACGATACTTGTGGTAGAGCCCAGTTACTTATAGCGATGCATCGGAATCGCAGGGCCGCAGGTACGATTCCTGCCAGAAGGCCCACAGCTTCATTTTTCGCAACTGCTCCTAGTAAGGTCTAATAAACGTATAAAATTTGCACTCGAAATTTCCATCTACAAAATCTTTCAACAATTCCTTTGGGACACCCTGTCTGGTGTTTAGGAAATTGCGCTCATGTCCCGGAAAATGTCCCGCAGCGCCATCAACACCGCTGCCAGAAAATGATCGATATAATATCTTGGCAGGAAATTTTGTTACATTTTGCAGGAAATTTTTCTCATCTGGAATGCCATTTTATTTACTTATTGTTTAAAATTCCAAAAGCGTTTTGCAAGTCGAGATTGTCTTGTGCTGCCAAGTTGGGGTTTATCACAAGGTGCGGCATGGCGGCACCATTATGCTCACATTAGTGCTTGGTAACTTTGTAAATATAATTTACCTGTAAATAGCTCGAAACACTTGTTATATCTTTTAAATTTACATATTACTGTAAATAGCTTAGCTTATCATCATATTCTGCATGTAAAATAATTTTCTGGCACACGCCCCCCATGCAAATCAGCTACGGTTGACGGGATAAATAAAGTTCTACTACTCTTCTACTACCATACGTTCTCTGAAATCCTACATATGCTAGACGTTTTCTATTTTATACGCGCATACATAGCTGTAGTGTTCACAATTTAAATAAAGTTAGTTTTTCGAGTTAATTGGCATACTATTGCCAACTCTCAGAAAAGCTATCACTTTAATACCTTGGACTTTATGTATCGTCTCTGAAGAGGCATTTCACTAAAGACCCATAGTCCACTGGCTCCCATCAGACTGTGCGACAGTTCAAGGACGTTCCCATCAAGTACATGAATGGATTTGAATGACATACTCATAACATAATGAAACTTGTACCAGAACGTCATACATTGATATAGTGCCGTCCGCTCTTTAGATAAAGTAATTTCAAGTTTTCCTGATGACCTCGCGTTCAGATAGTAGTCTAGAATAGTAGAAAAGACTATCTGGCATGACCAAGATGAATTTAGTCCTTCCCTTCGAAGGAAAATATTTTTTAACCATTCCTCTTCAACAACAACAACAACAACAACAACAACAACAACAACAACAACAACAACAACAACAACAACAACAACAACAACAACAACAGCAACAACAGCAGCAGCAGCAACAACAACAGCAGCAACAACAGCAGCAGCAACAGCAGCAGCAGCAGCAGCAACAACAACAACAACAACAACAACAACAACAACAACAACAACAACAACAACAACAACAACATACATACATATGTAATAATTAAGTGGGATATTCACGTTCAGGTGATATTCAAAATCGATAAGCTTTTCTTTCCACCTTGTCCTTTCCATATCTAGCCCTCTTCTCTATTTATCCCCATTTATATCGAGCACCCTCTCCATTTCGCACCCTCTAAATTTATGCTCGTTCTCTATTAGCTCAATGAATAAATGAGAGCCTGCAACAACCTCATGGAAATTTGGTAATTCGGGGCCGTGAGCGGACTCAAAAATCCTATTGGTTGAAATCATAATGTATGCCAAAATACGCATCAATCATTGTGGCGCAATGTTTATACGCTATCAATATAAGCGTATATTAGCGTACAATTTTGAAAGAATGCTGTGAATTTGGGTTTTAAACTAACTAAAAACTGAACAGCTGGAAATCGTTGAGATGTTTTGGCAGGTTTTCTCATTGGATATCTGCCTTGACAAGCCGAAGAGCATGGATACAAACCCATCCACGTGTTGGTATTTCTCTAAATAATACAGTAGCTATACCCGATCAATTTAAAAATACTGATTTTGACAAATTATGTATCCTATTAAATACATGTCGCTTTATAAATGTATTTATGAAACTTACTACTCGATCTACAAACGTTTTATCGGTTATTATGAGTTTTACGGCAGACTACAAAATACAGTGCAATTTAGCTTGTATTTTGATATATTTTTATAGTTAAGAGTTTGTTATTGTCAATTTGTAAACGTTTATACTGTTCAGCCTTGAGCCGTTGCAATTCCGAAACATACATATACTGATTCGCTCATAGCTGGTCATAACATGTATGATTTTGAAATTTATTGTAATGTTTGGACCTAAGATGGTATTGTCTTCCTTTTGATATAAATATATTTTTGAGTTCCGTTCATTATTAATACATAAAAATATACTGTTGAGTAACGATATCTAAACTGCAGTATCAAGTCAACATGTTTTGTTCTAGTGAATTGTATCACATACTAATGTATCGAAATTTACCAAACCGACATCCCCGGTGTAAAGTCTGTTTTATTTACTCCAAAAGTAATTTAAACTGCCAATTTCTTAAAAGTGTTTGAATTCTCGAGCCACTCTATATGAACTACATTAGTAATAAACTAAAGTGTATTTATATTTATTACTCACACTGCATCACGCACACGGATTTCAGAAAATATGATTGGTTGGATTGGAGATAAATTATCATAGTAATATAGTGGGCGGTTATCAAATTTCCTTGAGATTGTGCAGGCTTTCATTTAGGCGTAAAAAAAAAATACTTGTCGTTCCGGTTCCCGACCGACCCAATTTTTTTCTGCCGACCCTATTATTTTTTCAACGCGATTGACCGTGCGACCCTATTTTCTCCAGGTGGTTGCGGGCTGCTCATACAGCGTGCCAAAATGGTGTCTGTTGTCACACTAATTATTGAACCAAATTGCCTAAATTCGTCCATAGGAAATACGCATCTCTAGTTAATATTGATGTCGGGACTCTACAGCAACTCGCCCAGCAAAAAACCGCCAAAACCATGAAAAAAAATATTCAAAAAAAATAATTATTTCCGACCTACCGACCCTAATTTTTTCACGATATGAAACCGGAACCACAGGTATGTTTTTTACGCCTTATTCATTGAGCCTGCCACGCAGACTAGTTCTCTATTTAATCTTCTCTCTATTCTTGGCTTTTTTAATCTTGTCTCTTTTTTTGGCTATTAAGCGTCTTCTCTATTTAGTGCTCTTCTTTATTTGGCTTTCTTTTCAGTTTGAATCCCCTTCTCTATCAGTTAATTCTCCACTCTACTTATCTCCAGTCGTTTTTCAATCCCCTTCTACATTTAGCCGTCTTCTCTATTTAGCCCTTTTATTCTATTTATTCCCTCTGAATTATCTTTTCTTAAATGTGCCTTAAATTAATAATTGCCCGGGAAGGTAAGATTAATAGAGAACCCACTGAACGGACACGCAAACTAACCTTTGCGTTGGGTGTATTTTGTGACAACTTGACGTTTACCCTCGCTTTAATTATAACTGACTTGGCCTGACTGTTACTGTATATCTCGGAAATATAAATGCTGAGCTTATTGTCAGCGACAGATAGACACATCATTGTCTTTTTTTCATCCGAAATTTTGTGTCTAAATGCCTTCGTTTTCTTTCATAAGTATTGTAGTAATTGTGAATAGCGGAGTTAAGCCAATTCAGGGTTCCCACTGATCCAGCTAATCCTTAGGCGTCGGTGATAGATTTTTGACGGGTATTGAATAGTAGTTTGTTTGTTCTTTGAGCAATTTTTTGCATATTCAAATGATGATAGAATAGTTGAATATTTTGATACTCATATTCTAATTGTTCCAGTCTCAGCTACATGTTAAGCCCTGTTTACACTTGCAATTTTTGCTGCGATTTCTAGAGCGATTTCTCTTTCTGAGACATGTGAACGAGTAGAGCAGTTACGAATGTTCGGAGTGCATGTACCTTTGTCTGAACATTCATAACTTATCCACTCGTTCACATCCATCAGAAGGAGAAAATCGCACCTAAAATCGCAGCAACAATTGCAAGTGTCAACGAGCCTTTATAAACACCGCGGAAAAACGTCTGCGCACGCGTCAACATTACTGAAATCTGTATTGCGAACTTGATGTCAAGTGTTCCGAATGTTGTCAAAAACTCAAAATGGAAGTGACTTCGATGTTTTGCCTTTTCTATGAAAATGCAAGCGGAATAATGAACGTGACAACCTAAAAACTAGAAATAATTATAGTCTACATGTGCAAGAAGTAGTATTATGCAAGAAAATAAACCAAAGGTGACTGTCGATAAATTTATTGTATAAAACGTTCTATAACTGAACCATACAAAGATATTTTTCGTAGGTTTATGTGATCCACATTTTTGTCAATAACTTTTTTTGCGTAGCATGTATAATTTTTGCGTTGACTATATTTAAGGGTAATGATTCACTCTACAATTTAATCGTGTGCAAATGCTTAACTATTCTATAATTTTCTTAACTTTTCTGCTTTAAGTTCAGTATTCGACATTTTTCCAAGAAATGTTCACACGCCTCCCGGTCTTAAACGGTAATTTTCAATTTAATTTCTGTTTCTTTTTAGATTTTATATGTTAAAATCTTTTTATTCATATCTAAACTACCCGGCTAGTGTATTTTTTGTTGTTTCAATTACTTTAAATGATTAAATAGCCATGTTTTTGTTTACAGTTTGGCTTTTAAATTCCTCGCCATCTTTTTGTGCTCCACGCATGCGCAGACGTTTTTCCGCGGTGTTGCCTTTATACCAACTGCAATTTATCCCGACGCAGAACTCGTTATTTGGATGCGCAGTGAAAATTCCGAATTGCCTTATAACAATTTTTTTAATACAGAGCTGTTCCCCTCGCATTGGATCAGCCATGCTATTTCAGAGCTTACCGTGCAGCATGAACTGCTTCTTGTTGTTCACAGGCATTCTGACCCAAACTCCTGGAGTCATTTTCCAAGCACAAAGACTTTCAAAGGAACAAAATGGCAAATTATCTACAACAAATTAGAGAGTTATGAACTTGAAGCTATGGTAGTAACATGAAGATATATTTAGTCGTGATCAATGAGTGAGAGCTAGTAAGCTAGGAGTATAGGCATGGGGTAGCAGTTAGGTGTAGCTAGGTACGTCTAGTGCATGTAGGTACGATCTAATTAAAGGTGGAGAGAGTGACATAGTTCCACAGTTTCACAATTCTTTTAAAAGTCCTGAGGTGCCCGTGCTTTTCCTGCCTGTTCTAGTTTCAACATACTGCGATGCGTCAAGGTCTGTGAGACCGTATATTTGTATTCATAAAAAGATTGAGTGTTGAGTAATACCATGCACCATTGATAGAGAAAAAGTTGATTAAAATTTATTGTAATTACCATTTTGAATTTCAGAACATTTTTTATCAATCATAGAAAAATCATCAACAGCAATATCGCCCTTAGCTCCTTCACCACAAACTGCTTCGATCATTAACTGAAAATATATAAACACACAATTTTGTTATTAGTGGTTTACAGTGTAAAGCTTACAGCTCTACGCTGAAAACTATAAAGTGAGGGGATTATTAAGTAGAATAAATCCCCAGTCAAAGAGGGTACGAGTTATAGAGGGTTGTTGTTAATAAAATGTTGTAACGAGTTGCTATATTAGAAATACAACATAATTAATTATTTTTTGAAGGTAAGGAGTAAAATTTTCTGTTCACTCCGTTATTACTTACGTAAAAATTATTCCTCGATCTAACATCAAGCGAGGAAGTTTTCCATGAATCATCGCCTGAAGTATTTCTGGTCCAAAGGAGTTCAAGATTTGTCATGTTCGACCAAGCTTGATAAACACTCAGTCGACCAATATGCACACCAAACATGTGATAATAGAACGTGAAACAGAAATTTTGATCAGCCTTGAACGGTCCAGCTTGAATGATTGCTTTATCTCCTTTAACTCTTGGAGAACTTGCTTCGATATAGATGTACGAACCTGGGAAAGACATTGGTACAATGTTGATTGAAGCAGTCAGGGGATAATGACAGGATTTGCACATAATAAAGACGGATTTTGGAGTGAATATTGGATAAGGTGGAAATATTTTAGGGGATGAGCAGTTGTCTGTTCCACACCCTCCCTAGGATGATAGGGTTTACGACGTGCCCTCCTAAGTAAACAACATGACTCGATGCATGCAATGTATGGAATGTATTTAGCTATCTATTACAACATATCAATGTATTTATGAATTATCAAATTGATACATTTGTCAAGGGTAATAAATGGATGAATTTTTAGAGAAGGTACAAATACAATGAGGGGAGGTACAAAACCGCACGTCTGATCGTCTTTGAAAAACGTATTCACGTGTATTTTTTTTACAAATATTTTTACAAAACATATTATTTCTACACAAATCACACAGCTGTGCTTTAGCCAATCAGAATCGAATAAAATTATCTAAAATAATATTAAGAACATAATACTAGAACACTACCTAGCTCAGATTCGGAGGTATGATCCACTCTAGGTCCAGTTTGTTTAGAGGAAGTTTCACCATTATTAATTGACCAATCAAAATCATCATGTCCATCGTGAACCTGCTGCCATTTACAGAAACCATCTTGTTCGAAATCACAGCTGCCTGAAATAGAAATGTAATTTTTCAAAAGCTCTTCGAAACTTAAACTGAAACCTCACAGTAACAGGAAATATTAAGAAGGATTTCAATCGTATAGGCAAGTAAGGCTCTTGCACACTTTTAGGCATCGGCAAGCAAACGTCGACTTTGAATCTTCCAGATTATTCAAGATCATGCTGATATCCAAGGTGGCTGAATACACTCTAAAAACACTTTGGTTAAAATTCCTGGTTAAACCTAGAAATAATTCAATATTGGTTAACTTAATATTTTATTCGTTGTCAAATTTCCTGGTTATTTTATGTCCCTTCCTACCATAGTCTGGTAAATGTAACCATTTGACAGAATGTCGTGGTTATATTTACCAAGCTATGTTAGGTGGATAAATAACCAAGGACCCAACATGACCTCGTGGTTCAGTTACAGCATGGGACTGGTAAACCAAATAAACTATATCATCCCATGCAGGACCCAGATTAAAATCCGGAAGTGAACGCGAAGTAGATAGGTCATTTTCGCGTCGTGTTTCCTAAATTTATCTAATAAAATCATCGTCCTTACCATCAGTACTATCTTCACAAAACGTTTCGTTTATTAAATTAACAAGGCAACCAAGATCATTCAGACTGCAGCTTTCGTTTGCTAGAAAAAGGAAGGGGAAATTTATGTTATATACAGTACCTTGTTGTCGTGAAACTTTAAAAGAATATTTCCAGTTTAATCAATATCCCTTCTAACCTCGAGGAGATTGATGAGAATTGGCATGCATGCAGTCACGCATTGAAGCGGGGCCTATAGATTTATAAAATAACGGTTTTGATAAGTGTTTCAGCTACTGTAGTTAGCTATACTGATAGTTTAACTTAAATAGAACACACGATAGTGTTGGGAAAGCATTTCTTAAAAGAACAGCGAACGAAAGTCGCGTGACTGCTAACTCTCATGCACTCTCATCCTCGTTTGATTCGAACGTTACACTGTTTACTTTGGGTTTTCTCGGAAGGCTATATTCCTTAGCTTAAGCCCTGGTCACACAAGGTTGAGACGGTTGACGAGAGCTGAGACTCTCGCTTCCGTTTGCCCGCAATCGATCATATCTCTTGTGGATTCTTATTTACTCTCATCACCTCTCACCAACGTTGATATGAATTGACTCAATTTTGATGACAGTTAACAGTTGACGAGAGTTTATTCTCGGCGTCAGTATCTAGTTAACTCTGATCGTGGACGACACAACTCTTGCTCTCGTTTGACAGAGGGATGAGAGTTAGCGAAAGTGCAATGCAAACTACAGCTTGCCATCTCTCATCAACTCTCGTCGTAGTTTGAGTGGGGCGTTTGCTTGGTTGCTTAGACACACCGGACTCTAGGCGAATTTCGGTTAATAAAATAAAAGTAAATAAAATTCTATAAAACCGTTTATGAAAGGAATTTCAAAGGATATGCATACCAAATAACTCAAAATGTTGCAGCGCTTCTAAATATTTGAAACACCAAACAAAAGCGGGATCAACGTTATCTGTCAGTTATAAATCGTTGTCACGAATCTCTCGTTGCGTCTGGGCTTTACATGGCCAAAAGATTTTACGTGTTATCAGAAGAAGTCGAATCACAGCAAATACAGCCAACTGGAGAGCAGCTCAGTGTCGTAATTGGTGATGAATGTGTTGGTCAAGCTTGGTGCAATTATGTATGTCAATACAGTGCCGTGTATATTTACAATGTTCATACCTGCACGTTTTTTTTATTATAAAAGTGTATTTTCCCAATTTAGATTGGGTTGGTCATGAAAAATATTTTGTAAGATTAGATGGGCTTTGAAATTTTTATCTACATCCTAAGATGATGGGTCACCGAACTTATTGGCAAAATTTGTGATTTACCTCCAGCCCACCCTAGCAGTTACTTTATGACCATGCAGTCCCTAAGAACAACTAATATAAGAATATTTGTCAACCCTGGGTCACAGATTGCTTCAAAACAAAACAAACATGGCGGCCCGCGCTATATAAGTAAAAGTTGAGTTCGAGTGGAAAATATGGCATTTATCTCTTGAAATAGAAAAGATTTTACTTTAATTAAACAAGACTAACACTAACAAAACTTACATAGTTGAGTGAAATTTCCAAGCCGTTAGCGTTGTATAATGTGATATAACAAAGCAGAAAAACTTTGTCAGTGGACGGTTCGTTATAACCGTATAAGATAAGCTTTGAAACTGCATGGAATGAAATAGATTTTCACATACCTCTAGAAGTGTTGCCACAAATACTTGGTTCGTCCGCTCCACTCGGACAATCCGAAATTCCATTGCAAGTCGAATTCCATGGTATACAAATACCAACAGGACAGTAGAACTTCCAGGGATCACAACTTTCATCTAAATTATAAAAAAGCATTTTAAAGTTAATATTCGCCTGTGCTGCTCGGTGTGCTGTATAAATCTAACGAGAACCTTACATGGACGGCAACGCGACGACAAAGGCCAGCACGTGCTCATTCAAATAAAAGAAATGACTATAAAGAAAATTGCATGTCGTTTGTTGCCAAACGTACAGAGTTTAAAATAGGACAATATGATTAAGAAAGGTTCTGCTGAGCAAATTTGCCGAGTATAATTATAGTAGCACATCTCGCAGCTTGAAATGCAGATGTCGACGTAGAAAAATGTTGTTTTTCGTCATGAACAGAGCAAACATGTTGGCTGAAACTCCCATGGGGCATGGGACTTTATAATTATTTATTTATTTAATTTCTTAAATATTACGAATAAATAGCTATATAAGAATTTTGATATATTAAAGAACGTTCAAACGAACCCTGCAATGTTGATCCAGCATGATGCAAAAATATACTTAATATGATAAAGTACAGAACATTTTAAAAGTATTTTTTCTGTGTTGGTGTAACTGTTACTCAGGTGAATATGATATTTGTGATGTTACTCTGAGTGTATATCCACACCCGGCGATCTTGAAAAATATGCCCAGCCACGGTGGGATTCGAACCTACGACCTTTGGAATACTAACCCAATGCTCTTCCAACTGAGCTACGCGGTCAGGACGGTTCGAGTAAGTGATATCACTTACAATTTAAAAATTGCAATTCAAAAATTGAAGCCGTGATTGCAGTCTCAGGTCGTTCTCATGAAATGAGAAGATTCGTATGTTTTATATTTCTTAAACAGGGATCTTAAACATTAAGTTAAACCTATTCCAAATACTTTTTAAACTATTCAAATGATGAAAGTTATTGTTGTTTTTAAGCGTTTATTAGCAAGTGAGAACGACCAACATGGCCGCCATCTATTCAAATGGGGGTAACCGCTGGAATATTCTTGGCTTCAATTTTGCTAAAAGAGATGCGCTATCTAGTGTATATAAGATATCTATGAGATAACCCGGTGAAACTTGATGAAAGTCACTAGCGTTTTCATCAAATATCTTAATTACTCATGAAAAATAATACTTGAATAGAATTCCTAATGCTTGGTTAAGAATTCTACTCAAATCAGCAAAAGAAAACATTCTGTTACGTCTCGATTCATTTGAGAATCCATATAAACAACTCGAGTTCGTGTCTCACCGGGATATCCTGACTCGAAAACAATGTATGAGAACACTCGCGCTTCACGCTCGTGTTTTCATACATTGTTCTCTCGTGTTTGGATATCCCGGTGAAAAACTCGCTCTCGTTGTTCATATATTACATATACAACATACTATACAACATTATTTGAAAAGTGTTAGACGATACCGATTTTGTTGCACAAGTTACAGTACATGGTATTTTATCATATAGAAGAACATAAGGTATATAAGTTTTCATCGCTTTCTACTGTCTATAGCTCGATCTGCCGAGACTTTGATGTGGCAGAACGGCAATTGTTATTGCAACTTGCAAAGTATGCCGCAAAGCATAGTCTGTCAAGATAATGTAATGGTCTGGAAGCCCTGCAAACTTCAAAGCCATAACATAGAAGCTATAGACCTTTGTTTGATGTTGAACAGTATACCTCACCGTGCAACTTCATTAAATATTATTCATCGTGGTTGCACGACGCCAGTGGCGCCGCCAGCTCGATAATTGGGGGGGGGGGGGCGAATATTCATATACTCGTGTTGTGCACTATTAACTTCTTTTGAAGTCGATTGTTTTTATGGTCTGTGAAAACAAATATATGAATATTCGCCCCTCCCCCCATAATATCGAGCTGGCGGCGCCACTGCACGATGCACGTTTCGTTTCAACTATCCCTATTGGAAGACTACTTTATTATACGACTACTGTAAAACGCATGCCAATGAGCTCAATCACCATGACCGGTGCACAAATTGACATAAACTAAGACAAAAACATCGCACAATGATTTTTGTTTAGTTTCCAGACCATCATATCTTGATATAGACTATGCGCAAAGTCATGTCATGACGTATACTTATTATTAAAGGTTTATTAAGAAACACATTTTGGCACCCGAAGGTGAATTGCAATATGCTTACAGAAACACAATAAAGGATAAATATCAAATAATATAAATATAGATATATCGTATATGTACAGTTGTTAAAATACTACAAATTATTTACTATTAAAATTAGCAGTCATTGCTGGTATAAAACTAGTTTTAAAACGTTCGGTTCTGCATTTAGTTAATGTGAAGTTAGAATTGTTTCTTAAGTCCAGTTCATGCGATTCTTCACGAAGTGGGGGTAAGAGGTGGTTGAGGTGAGCATCGGGTTTTAAGATCTTTTTGCACGTTTTTGCACAAAGTTTTAGCACATAACTCTTGTCGTCAAGGCGCTTGCATTGAGTGATGTTGAGAGCATCTTCGTAATCTGTTGTCGGATAAATAATACGGAAAGCTCTTTTTTGAACTTTTCCAATTTTATCCCCCAAACACTTTGGTAACATGGTGTGCCAGACAGGACAGGCATATCCTAAGATAGAGCGCACCATAGAAAAGTAGACTAATAAGAGGTCATTGGGGGAAGACCACAGCGCTGTAGAACACGAATAATGTATAAGCGTTTTGAGGCTTTTTTAACTAACGCTTCAGTGTTATCTTGCCATTTCAATTTATTGTTCATGGTTAAGCCCAAAAGTTTGAATGAAGGAACTAAGTCTAGAGGTAAACCATCAATGAGGAGTCGGGGGATGTCATTCTCGCTACGGACGAAACTCACTATCATTTCTTTGCATTTCTTTCCGTTCAATTTCATGTTGTTATTAACAGTCCATCTTTCAATTGTGTTAAGATCAGACTGTAGGACTGAAACTTCATTTTTCTTTAAGGACTCCGATATTGTTACGTCATCCACGTATTTCCAATGGTCAGTGCTAGAGGATGCCAGTTCAAGATCATTGATCATAATTATGAATAAAATAGGGCCCAACTTTGTTCCTTGAGGGACACCTGCGTTATTGATGGCCCAATCAGATTGGAAATTGTCGATCTTTACCGATTGACGGCGATTTGAGAGAAAGCTGCATAACCATGGAATAAGCGACAATCTTTGGGACCAGGATATTATGGTCGATGCAAGCGAAGGCTTTACTAAAATCGAGGAAAACGATCCGCAGATAGCTCGATTTATCATCCAATGTTCTTAGCCAATTGTTGATCATATCGATCATGCAAAACGTTGTAGAGGTTCCTTTAAGGCACCCAAATTGTTGCGGGTTGATTTTATGTTTCACGTCATCCACCATCCAATTGACCACAAAGTCCTCAAGAATTTTGGACAAGGAGGCTGTATGGGAGATTGGGCGCAACTCCTCCTCACAGGATACGGATGGCGCTTTATAGTCGAGGACCTGTATATGAGTTTGTATGCATTTCATTTAGGACAGATAATCTCAACTGTTTTAGGGCAAGTTGACCATGACGGTCAACATGGTAACGCTGCCCGAACCCCAATCCGGGACGAAACGTCCGAAACTGACCACACCCAAAAACGACGCTTTCGCCATGCTGCTATCTACCAAACCATAAAAGCTTTGGCTATTCTGAGGTGCTTATATGGTTCAGAGATGGTACTTTTGGGGTGGTCATTGGTAAGTGTGAAATGCCTAGCACTAATATTTCACAAGAAAATGACCATGCAATAATCATAGTTAAACGTCAATTTGTGGCTTGCAACTTCAGATAAACAGCAGTGGACTTACATTAACTTTTTCCCTAAATCTTTTCGATAGAAACATAATTGGTACTTATTTAAATATATTATCACTGATTTGGTGTAAAATAGTTAATATTTTCTGACCGAAATAATAATTTGAAATGTGCCTAC